TCCCCCCCCCCCAAACGCCCCTGGCATGCTTTGATGGACCAAGGGCATTATATAATGTCCTTGGATGGACTAGTAACAGTACACACATAAGAGCTGTTTGTTAACATCAGAAAGAAACAAAATGGAATTTTTGATGTTGATACGTTTTTTTTTTCAAAATGACCACGCCTTGTTCCATATTTTCCTTCATTTCTAATATCCGGACTTAACAACTTTGGTATATTTCTTTACCTGCTCATGAAGCTTTTTTAAAAAGCTATCCGTACTTTTTTTTACATCTTTCGCAACCCTTCGTTCCATGAATTCGTTTTTGGCGACGTCTCAAGGGCGGATGTATCTCTATGGTCTTTGAAAAACAAGGTTAAATACAAGTTATATAACCTGAGCACATGTTTCTCGTTTCTTGCTATTCGTCTATAACAAAGAACTGTTATCTCTGTCCCCAGGCCGTCCAGAACACGATGACGACGAAGTGTAAGTGTCATGGCGTCTCCGGGTCGTGTAACGTCAAGACGTGCTGGAAGTCGTTAGCCGACCTGACGGAGATCTCTCACGAACTGGCCGAGAAGTATTCATACGCCATCAAGGTAAGAAAGTAGTTCTGTACATTCGCTACCTTTTAACGCAAGTGAAACGTCATAACGAATGTTTTATGTTTTACAAGAGAGATCATTCCTTGAACATTGAAATTTCGTTCAAACAATTACATTGCACATACTCACTGTCTATACAGTTATTGCCTAGGTGCACGGAAGTATTTTTTGTTTGTTTGTGTGTGTGTGTGTGCGCGCGCGCGTATGTGTGTGTGTTTGCTTGGGTTTTTAGGCATTTGAATGCTGTAGACTGACAGGAAGGGGATTTGGTTACTGTAGATTGACCTGAGGATCAAGTTGGAAGAAAGTGATGGCTTGAAGAACGCTTAACTGATCTTTCATAACCCTCTTGTGTTCAGGTGGTGAAAAGGAAGATCGGGACGAGACAACAGCTGGTCCCGGAGGACAGAGTGTCCCGTAAGCACGGCAGCGGAGACCTGATCTTCGTGGACAACTCTCCCGACTACTGCATACGGAACAACAGGAAGGGCTCGTACGGAACTACGGGAAGGTGTGTACAAAACACGATAACGTCTTATTTGCTGAGATTCGTTTTTTAAAGCATTTGTAATTCTATACGAAAATCGACGTCCCTGTGGCGTCGCCAAAAATATGTACATAAAAAAAAAACTACACGTACACATCCACTGGTAACCGAAATGTTTTCTTGCCCTGTGGTTATCACTTCAAAAAATTCCCAGTTCTGAGGTTTCATTTGCGAATGCTGAATTCTCGACATAAGATCTTTGTAAGGAATTCACTTCGAATGCTTGGTTTTGTTTATTTGGATCTCTAGGCAATTTCAAATTCCTTGTTTGATGTTTTTTTCCAAGTTTGAGTTTTCATTTGTGAATGCTGAATTCCGGATAGACAGATCGCTAGTTGTAATTCGTTGTACAACTTCAGAAATGGCTGAAAACTTCAAATGTATTAAACATCGAATGTTCTTGTTTTTTTCTAGGTTGTGCAACAAGACGTCAGTCGGCCCTGACAGCTGTCAGTCCATGTGCTGTGGTCGGGCGTACAACGAGTTCACCACCTCCGTCACGGAGAGGTGCAACTGCAAGTACCACTGGTGCTGTTACGTCACCTGTGACCAGTGCACCAGAACGGAGACCAAGTACATGTGCAAATAGAGCGTTGTTTTGTAAAATAAAAACGTACCGGGCTTTTCGCGTTTGCCTGCGTTCAATGTTGGAACTATATCTATTTGTGGCCATTTGCCATTTGACCAAGTACATGTGCAAATAAGGCATTGCTTTGTGAAGGCTTCTCGCGTTTGCCTGCGTTCAATGTTGGAACTATATTGTTATCTATTTGTGGCCATTTGATAATTCTAATTCTAAATGTCCATATAGCTAATGCAAATATTATTAGAATTAGCCAGAGGAAAAAAAAGTACGCAGGGCTCTCGTTCAAGCATAATAGTATCTGCTCAGTGTAGCATTTGACATATTGCAGTTTTCGACACAGGACATTGTAAGAAGTTCAGTTTGAGCTATTCCATTGTCAAGACAGGGGCCATTACGATAATACATTCGCGTCAATGGCATAAAGGAATCCATTTTGTGTATTTCGGCACCATAGAATTATATCAAGAAATGCTGAGTTCCTTACTAACTGCGGACCATGTAATATTTTCTTTTCTGAGATAACTGACGACATGAGTTAACGTTAATGTTGATTAGTAACAAACTAACCAACCTATCGAAATACGGAAAATGGTTGTCAATCGGTCACGTCAAATCTTAGCATCTATAACCTAGAATACATGTACAATCTTAAACTGACGGGGGTAGTAAACATACATTGTATCATTATTGGATGAAATACTTATTGTAAGCTTGTGTAAACTAGATATTTATTTCGAAGACGCCATTCGTTTGTTATGTTACGTTATATTTGTTCAGTAACATGGATGGTCAGAAGAAAGTTCGGAATCAACAAATCAGGAGAGGAAGAACTATTGTAAATATGCATTATACGTTTCATTATCGTTTCGCGAGAAGCGATGACTGTACAGAATGTATTAAAGTTAGTGTTTGTATAAGTAATGCGCGCCATCTGGCGACTTTTATGAGTACTCCATGTCCAACGTTTGTCAATCACCGAGTTGGTCCTTCGAGCGGATTCTAGATTCTTTCATAAATAACAATGATGACATCCTATTATGAAGATTTTGTCATTTCCTATTTTTCTAAATGAATATTATTTTAGAGTAGGACTTGGGGAGGGGACATGGACATTAACTGTACCCCAATATGAGTTGCACAAAAGTATAAACTTTGTTTATTCTTACTATACTACTACTACTAAATTTGTGAAACGTTGTTATTTGTATAACTTCTGAATCAGTGGTTCAAATATCGTGTTTTGCATCGAAAACTTTGTTATTGTAAATACTCAATATTCAAATACATTATCTACATACTTGTACCAAAATTGTGGATGTGTCTCTTTGCCTATATACATATGTTATATTTAGCCTTTGCAGGCTAAATAAATAGTAGATATCGGCCTAAAAAGGGGATCTAATTGGCCGGAGGAGTTTGCCGGCCATAGAGGGTCCAGTTTGCCTGCACGTCGGGTTGTTTATGGCCTTAATAATCTGAGGTGCTAAGCTACTGTCCTTGAATTGTTCCGTAGATGAGCGGATTTATTTACTTTTATGCCTTTTGATCGTAGCAACATCTCACAGACTCCGTGCAGGCAAACTGTATCCTCTATAGCCGGGAAACTCCTCTGGATAATCACATCCCCTTTTTAGGCCGATTTCTACTATTTATTCAGCCTGCAAAGAAGTCTGGTGGAGACTACATTTTCACCTCTAGTTACCGACCCAATATCCAGGCAAGCGTTTAGTAGGTAATCAATTTCCTATTCCTACGTTATTATCTACGCTATTATCTACGTTATAGATAGTTGTATCTCAATCAAAATAAATGATCTAATAAACGCTCGCGCTTCGCAGACGAGCCCTAAGTTATTATCACACTATAGTCAGTCTATTTTGGTGACGAGCAATTAAGGACATAATTTCAGACGTGTACAGGATCAAATTACATTTGGATGCGTTCGTGCGCATCTCGTATTTCGTGTATGGTGGCTATTTTTCTACACCTAATTACGTCTTTTACAACTCCGTAGCCAGTCAGCAGAGAGGCATTCAATTTCATACCCAGAGCAGTCCTCGCTGCATTTTTAACGACCGGTAGAACTGTAAGTTTGTTATTGGGACCCTGGCTGATTTGAACTATCAGTTAAAATGTCAGGGCCTGGACTGTTTAAGGAAGAAATTGCAGGAAAACAGCCCGTGAAGTTTCCAACTGTGGCCTAAGTAGACGCTAGAGATATATTTGTGTAACACACGCTAGTATCATGCCCGTAGCCAAGATTTTGAATAGGGGGGTTCTTCCCGTTGTCAGAGGAACCAGCCAGTTTCCTGGGGGAAAAGTTTGAAAATTGAACCTTCTAAAATGACATTTCCTGCATTTTTGAGAGGGCCTTTAATTGAAAGGAAAAATTAGATTTCATTCAATGACAAAGTGAACAGTTTTCCTAAGATTTCATCCCCGCTGGCGATACAAATCAGTCCATCTTATCCAAATCCAAAATAATTGGACCTTTTCATGAAAAGTGGACCGTTGAGCCTTGTGGGGAGGAGGGGGGTCCTTCCGAACCACCCTGGCTACGGGCATGAGTATGACAGAATGTAACGTTCCCGGCTTTCCCGCGCTTTTTTCTCAGTCACCACATGTCGTCTGCGGCGGTACTCAGACATGTAATGACCAGCCCGTCTGTCACCTCTGTTTCCTGTACAGTCGTTTTGCAGTCATCATTTCTGCTGACTGCTCCGCACAAGCCGGGCCGTAATTTCCAACCGATTACCAAAACAGACAGCCTGACATCAAAGCTCAGGCAGAGGCCAGCGCTGGAAAGTGTTGTGCCTGCCAACAAACAACTTGATTCTATATGTTAGGTCACAGCAAGTCAATGTTATGGATGACGTCCTCAACAGATCCAATCTAATGCGATAGGGCAAAAAAACAACAACAACAAAAAAAAAAACAAGGCGGGCCAAAAAACAAGATCTTACTGATACTTATCTGCCATCCACCTTCCGGCATGGCAACAGACATCTTTGCCCATTTTCGGCCTGTTGACCACTGTCAGAGCGCAACAAAAATTTCTCTTTTTTTTTTTAATTCAGGCGAAAATTAATGTGCGCGCTGATGTCATCCATAAGAATTACTTGCTGAGGCCTGAAGCTACTCTCTGGCGCTCTTTGCGTGATGCTGATCACGTACTGAACGTAAGTTTCTGTCACAAATACAGAACCTTCCCCCGACCGCCAACCAACCAAGGTGGGCTGAAGTTCGGCAGCAGTCTGACAAAACCTTTCTGTAGGAATCAAATTGATTTGAGTTAAATATGAGTCAAATTTGACCCCCAAACACGCGCCGAACACTCCTGACCAACTCCAGAACACATGGCCGAACCTCCCGTTCACACCCAAATGTTTGAAACATGTTGAAACATTCGGCTAGCGCAGCAGAACACCAGCCAACCACAGCCGACCCTGCTCCCAACCTACTCCCAATCATGGTTGGGGGAGTTCGGCAGTGTTTGGAAGCCTCCACCAGACTCATTTTCAGGCTGAATAGATAGTAGAAATCGGCCTAAAAAGAATGTAGCTGGCCAGGGGAGATGGCATGGCCGCCCATAGAGGGTCCAGTTTCCCTATTCGGCTTTTTGTGACAAGGGCTTTACCTGTTAAATACGTGCATGGCCCTCCCTTCAGCATTACGCATGAAATAGACCCTAGCACATATGATTATAGCACGGATAAACCTCGCGTTATTATCAATATCGTTTCCATGATAATCTACGTCAATTTTTCCTTAATGTGATCATTTTGCATCAATTTGTAACGCGATGCACCTTTAGTAATGCTGGGAATCGAAATGTATTATATATGACGTGTATGTAGTCTAATATATAATTCCTTGGTGATTGAATCTGGTATTTTGATCTCTTTGGATCGTTTTTGTTTGGAAACTAGTTAGATGCAGATAAAGCGGGGGTGTAATCTCCAAGCAGATGTTGGGGTAGGTAAGCGCACCATTTCCTGACCGGAAAGATTTTCTGACGATCTGAATGCTTATACTTTCCGGTAATCTGATGTCATAGCTGCAGGTAAATCTAAAACCAAATTAAAAGATGACGTCTTATCCGGTTAAGCTTCTCAGCCAAATAAACGTGAATCTGATGTAAATCATTCCGTACCTGGCAAACAAGACAGACGATAGGCCACAGCAAGTAGATTTTATGGATGACATCCTCCGCAGACTCCAAATCTAATGCGAGCGGGCGAAAAAAACAAGGTTCCCGCAATCTGAAATTTTGACTCAATCATTGAACAAATGGTTTTGATTCAGTGGGAACATCACATATACACGTACACAGCTAACATCACATATCACTGCATCAAAGACAAAGTAAGAAACAAAACATTAAAGTAGAGCCATTTCTTGTCTCCTCTCTTCATAGTCCACCTTCCGGTATGGCAACACTACCAACAGACATCTTTGCTATGCTCATTTTCGGCATGTTGACCACTGTCAGAAGGCAACAAAATTTCTTGTTTTTTTTCAAAATCAGGCGAAAATTAATGCGCACTCTGATGTCATCCTTAAAACTTGCTGTTGCCATATATTCACATGCAAAACATAGCTACATTTCATTTGGGCGCCAGTCCAAGGAGTGAACTGGTTGATAGGCGGTAGCCGTGACGTGTGCCGTGGCTTGTGAAAGGTTAGGCAGCTCCCAGGCCGCTCATTATATCGTGCCGACATCTGTGTCAGTCGACAGGCGCCAGCTACAGCCGTCATCCCGGCACGTCAGTTCGCACGTCAGTCTACCGCACTGCGCTAGAGAGAACGGAAGACAGCTATTTGCTACAGGTGGGTAGGCTGCTTTGTTTCTTCAAACTCCCAAAGTGATTTCAGGGCTGTAAGACTGGGTTTTCAACGTTTTCTGGTCATTTTTTAACGCCAGTTCACACGTCAGTCTACCGCACTGCAACGGGTTGAGAGGACGGAGGACAGGGTTACCTGTAATAGGTGGGTGTGCTGCTTTGTTTCTTTGTTTTTTGTTTCACCCAAAGTGATTTCATGGCTGTAAGACTGGGTTTTCAATGTTTTCTGGTAATTTTTTAACGCCAGTTCACACGTCAGTCTACCGCACTGCTCCGGGTAGAGAGGACGGTAGACGGGGTTAGCTGCTACAGGTGGGTGTGCTGTTTTGTTTCTTTGTTTTTTGTTTCACCCAAAGTGATTTCATGGCTGTAAGACTGGGTTTTCAATGTATTCTGGTCATTTTTAACGCCAGTTCACACGTCAGTCTACCGCACTGCAACGGGTAGAGAGGACGGTAGACGGGGTTAGCTGCTACAGGTGGGTGTGCTGTTTTGT